ACCCATCCTTTAAGAAATAAGAGTTCTTCTTATTTTAGACTGGGTGGTCCTGGGCTTAGTTAGCGTCTCTCCCCCAGATTACATCAGATGGTAATGGAGGGAGGGCTCTTCTTCTTACACTAGGCCCGAAGGTGCTGGGCCTAGTGTCTCTCCCTCAGATGACACTGGATGGAATGGAGGGAGGGCTCTTCTTCTTATTTTAGGCCTGATGGTGCTCGGCCTAGTGTCTCTCCCCCAGATGACATCAGATGAAATCAATTCCTTTGAGATGTGGTGCTGGAGAAGAATGCTCAGGATCCCATGGACAGCCAAAAGGACAAACAAATGGGTCCTAGAGCAGATCAAGCCAGGGATATCCCTAGATGACAAGAATTAGGGGCTCTACAGACTGCCCAAAAGGGGAGGCTCCATGCTGCCCCTAGGAGTGCTGGATTGGGGCTGCAGCAACCACATGCTGCAGCGCCTATCTGGCACTTTGCCACTCTAAAAAGAGCTGGCAAATGCCGCTCCTTTTTAGAGTGGCAAAAAGCCGCCTTTGCTATGGCAGCAGTGGCTTTTCACGCTACACCAAGGGACTGCCCTTATGCCACCCACCATCTATTTGTGCATGATGGCAGCATCAGGGCAGAGTCAGGCAGCTGGCGTGCAGTCACTAAGCCCTGACTCCACTCCCAGGCCGGCCCTTTTGGCCGGTCTTTATAGCTCTTTAAATTGTCGTATTTTGGACACATCATGAGAAGGCATGAATCGTTGGAAAATACAATAATTTTAGGAAAGATGGAGGGAAGTAGAAGGAGAGGAAGGCCACATGCTAGATGGATGGACTTTATTAAAGAGACCATGATTATGAGTTTGTAGGAGCTGGGCAGAGCAGTAGAGGACAAGGGGGCCTGGAGATGTCTCATCTATAGGGTCACCATGGGTTGAGATCAATGCAAAGGCAGTTAACAACAACAATCCTACATCCAAAGATCTCAGGACAGAAAGTTTCAGAGAATGGGAAGAACACTAAATGCTAAATGCATTAAATCATTCCTAACATCTCAAGAGACACTGACCACAGGAAAGCTTTTTTCCAAGTGGGCATTGATGGAATCTTATCCAAACATCATAATGCTAAACAGAGGCTAATAAAGCAAAAATCTGTCTGGCATATGTGCAGATCATCTCAGCACAGTCTGACATAAGTCATTGCCCTTACCAAAATTGCCAAGTTACAGAATTAGGAGGGAACAGAAACAAACACCACTGCTCAGAAATCCTGAGGTCAGCATCATCTCAGCCAAAATCCCTTCTGAATTTAGACTTGGCTTATAAACTTGGGTCTGTTCCAAGCTGTCCTCGTCCTTCTTCTTTTCTTATCTCCCAAGCTTAAGAGTGGGTGAAGGGGCAAGAATTCCAAGGGATGGCCTCTTCCGAGGATGGGTACTATTATTTTATTATATTTTATTTACTTATATCATGCCTTTCTCCCAATACAGGGACTCAAGGTGGTGAACAGCAAATTTACAACAATACAATTTAAAAACAGTGCAAAAGCATTAAAATGCATGTGTGTGTGTGTGTGTGTGTGTGTGTATAAAAACAATTGAAAATTTTAAAAGTTAAAACAGTTATGCATTAAAATGTAAAAAGTGTAAAAATGTGGGTAATTATGATTTTTCTTGGAATGGGGAGGGGCATTTCACACTACACTGTTACAGCACTAGGATTCTATTTTAACTGCCCTAGCTGCATCCTATGGAACCCTGTGGTTTGTAGATTGCTGGAGCTCTCTGGCCAAATTGTTGTTGTGTGTCTTCAAGTCATTTCCAACATATGGCAGCCCAGTTTTTCTTGGCAAGTTTTTTCAGAGGAGCAATTTGCCATTGCCATCCTCTGAGGCTGAGAAAATGTGACTTGCCCAAGATCATCCAGTGGGTTTACATGGTTGAGCTGGGATTCGAACCCTGGTCTCTGTATTCGGAGTCCAACACTCAAACCACTACACCATGCTGGCTCAACTCTAGCTAAATACCCTTCCCTAAATCAGAAAGCCCTGCATTCCATACAATGTTGACATGGCAAATATAGTGGAATAATAGTGCTACAACTGTATAGAGTGAATGGGTCCATGGAAATGCTTAGATTGATGGTGGACAATTTCAGAGGGCCTTTTCTGCCTGTAGGACCTACCAAGGGTTGCACTAGTTACCCCCTGAATGGAAATAGTGAAAAAATAAGAGCTGATGTGGTTAAAAGTCCATTTTTGTTAGCAATAGCAACAGCAGCTTCATTTATATACCACTTCATATCACACTATACAGCCTCTAAGTGGTTTACAACTGTAAGCTAATTGCCCCCAACAAGCTGTGTACTCATTTTAGCGACCTCAGAAGGATGCAAGCCTGAGTCGAGCCTGAGCCCTGGCTGGTACTGAACTTGCAACCTTGTGGTTTTTGAGTGAGCGGTTGCAGTACAGGCATTTAATCACTGCGCCACCAGGGCTCCTACTAGGAGGAGGTGAGGAGGGCTGCACCTGGTTTCTTCAAAAATTACTACCCCTAGACACTTCCATGAGTAATAAATGACATTTTTACATGTGATTGGCTGCAGTGATTGGCCTTGGGGTCTCACTTTTCCCACCCAGACTTGATCATAAAATCACTGCCTGTGAAAACAGAAACAGTAGAATCACCTGCAGGAATCCCATCCAAAACCTCAGAAAATCCACAAATGTGTGTGTATGTGCCTTCAAGGTGCCAGTTGACTTTTGGAGACCCCATAAATTTCATAGGGTTTTCTTAGGCAAGGAATCCTCAGAGGTGGTTTTGCCAGTTCCTTCCTGTGAAATATAGCCTACTGCACCTAGTATTCATTGGCGGTCTCTCATCCAAGTACTAAACAGATTTGACCCTGCTTAGCTTCCTGCTTAGCTTCCAAGATCAGACAGGATCTGGTGCCTTACCTCATAGGAAACAACTAGTTTTCTTGAGCCACACATAAACCCACCTGGCACACAGCACAGGAATGACTAGTAAGCTATTTGGATGCAAATATCCTTCAATATTGTTTCTTGAGGAAAAGAAATACTTGATAAATAGGTCACGTTCCAGAGCCTTATGGATTTATGCTCACATGGAAAGAGTTTGGGTGGGAGGGAGGGAGAGACACCAACCCAACACAAGGTAGAATAATTTCTCTCCAATTTCCAAATGCTGTCTCTATCCAAACTCTACCTACAGAGTGTGAAATCAATATATAGATGTTGCTGCAAAACTAATGACCTCTTCAGTGTGTTGCTTTGATATTTTTATTATGGATCATCTCGGATTTGTCTTTTCCTAAATTACACTGAAGACAGATATAAAGGCCTAATAATTCTGAGCTGTGTAGGAAGGGGGGAACGGGGACATCGCCAATGCATTGTTCTTCCATAACAGCTTCCACAGACAGATTATTATTTTTCTTTCTCTCTTTTCCTAGGCAATAAGGCATTAAAATTAACTACAGTGGCCTAATTCAGTAGCTATTGTGAAACCTGAGTGGGAAACAAAGTGAAATCGATACGAGAAAGAAGAGGATTGAGGGGTAATACAATTAGGACAGTTCTAGCACCATTTTAAATGCTTTTCTACATGAAAGGTTGACCGAACTTTCATCTTGCAAAATCACACAGATTTAGTTACACTGCCTGAGAATGAAGTCCATTCTAGATGAACAATTCATCGTTCCTACGCTGTGCCATTTAAAACTATACGTGAAGGGATTAAATAACCATGACCTCCATGGTCAGGAAATGGAGGGGAGCCAATAAAAAACAAGGTTAAATCATAATAATGTAAGAAGCACTTTGTTGGATTAGATCAGGGTAGATTAAGTATGGCCTACAGTCAGCAAGTATACCCTGGGACATTTTGTGGCCTTCCCAGGATCCCCTGGGGTCAACAAAAATTTGGTTCCTAAATGCCTTCTAGGAGTGTCTCCCTTCCCTTGCGTGGTATTTCCAACACATTTGGGAGGTTTCCTAGGGCAAGTTATGCCCAAGAGACGCCTTTTTGAAACAAGAAATTAACTGGAAGTGACTTCTCATTTCCTTTTTAAAAATATCTTTATTTCGCTACCTTTCCCATCAATTATTGCATTTACATTTATATTTACATTTGTCAAATTACAATAAATTTATTTTCTAATGCATATTCTTATCCTAACTCATGTCTTCCTTTCATTATGGAGTTCATTCTTTTTCTTTTTGTGAGTACTGTATTTTTTGGTAGATGTTTCTTTGTTATCTTCTTATTTGTATTCCCATTTCCTCCAATTCATTATTTTTCCCCTCTTGTCTTCTTTCTGCTTCTTCTTTTACTATCTCTTTAACAATTTATTCATTATATTTTTACCATTTATTTATATATATATATATATATATATAAACCTACCCCTCTAAATAAAGGAATAAAAAAGAAATAAGAAAAACAAGAAAGAAAAAACAGAAAATAGAACAAAAAATCAAAAAAATCCTCTTTCTTCCCTTCTTGTATTATTTTTATAAGTTTATCTATTATTGCAAATGTCTAATTTGTCTATCTTTAATTCATCCACCTTAATCTTAATCTGCTTTCTTACTCTCTTAAGGGAAAAAAAACTTCTTTTCTTGCCTTTCCTTCCTCAATTCTTTCCTCCTTACTATTCTCAACTGCTTATTAATCATATTGCATGTATAATCATATTCAGCCATCTTAATCTTTCCACTATTCTCCCTCCCTACCTTTTTCTTTCTACTTATGTTTCCATCTCTCTTTTACGTATCATTTTCCTTTCTCTCTTCCTGGTCCTTCTTACTCCTTACCTTCATCTTGTTTTGGAGAGAGAGAGAGAGAGAGAGAGCTGTAGTGGTTTGGTTGTTGAGCTATGATTGTAATAAATACTGATGTCCTTGGGCAAGCTCCTGCCTTGGAAAAGCGGCCTCTGAAGCATGGCTGGGACCCAGGATGCAGTCGCTCAGTGTAGCGGTAGTGATTTGCATGGGATAATACCTGGTAGCAAGCCAAAATGTGACTGTATCCCATTGGGGATCAGTCGCATGATTGGTAAGTGTGATAATCTCCACACTCTCTCAGTCTCAGAGGCTGGCGATGACAACCCCCCTTTGAAGAAACTTGCCATGAAAACCCTGTGATAGGTTTGCCTTAGGTTCACCATAAGTCAGAAATGACTTGAAAGTGCACAACAGCAACTACACACACACACATTCCCCCTACCAAGGGAGCAGGGGTGTAATGGGGGGGTTCAATCTTCCAATGTCTCCTGGAGGGTGCCAATGTGGCCCTCTAGCCTTCCACAGTTGTCCCCCACCAGATTACACCCAAGGCCTTGATAGTCCAACATTACGTCCATGCATTGGCAATTGCCTATGTGAAGCTCACAAGCAAGTCATGAAGAAATGCACCCTCCACCTTGTCCCACTGTGCTTTTTACTAAGCAGGATAGTCACATTTGTAAAGAATAAAATACAACCATCAATAAGCATGTGAAGGCTTGTTTCTTCTTTTGAGAAGGTGAGTTTTGTAGGGACAGGTAGATAGACATTCCCCCAAGCTGAAAGATTTTGGTCATATTGTTTTGAGTTATCTCTATTATAATACAAAATATTCAGGCATGCCTTGAATAAGCAATTAAGACCCATTAGCTTTACAGAAAGGCCTGCATGCAGATGAAAATCTAGCAGAACAGGGCTGCTGATATAGATCAACAAAGGGCCTTTGCAGACTGCCAGAATAGTGCAAATTGAGTCCACTTTAACTGCCCTGACTCAGTGCTAGGGAATAATGGGAACTGTAGTTTATTGTGGCACCAGAACTCTCTGACAGAGAAGGCTCAACGTCTCAGAAAAAAATACAGTTCCCATGATTCCCTAGCACTGAGCCAGGGCAGTTAATGTGGACTCAATTTGCACTATTTCTAGCAGTCTGCAAAGGCCCAGACTTGTTTTACAGTTATGAATACCCCTAGGATGATAACTGGATTCTCATGATGAGTGTGTACAATTCAGAACTGAAAATGACATGACTACTGACTGTCTATGGCACACATGACCACCTTATCTGTGAATAATGCTTTCCATAGCATGGCATTAAGAATCACACCTTGCTGTTGCCAGATGATGCCAACTAGACTGACAGTTGTTTAAGGAACAGGAATCATGGAATCATAGTTGGAAGGGACCAAAAAGGGCCATCTCATCCCAGCCCTCTGCCATGCAGGAATTCAACCCCCTGCCATCTAGTAAGTGGTTAAAAAAATGGATTAAGGCATAGTTCAAGAAATTGTTACTCCAAAGTTACTCCATTTCATAAATTCTAGCATCTAGTGTCCTTGAGAAGCATTCATCAGTCTCACTTTCTTGGGGTCTGTACTCCTGGTATTGGTTGTCACTGTCAAAGGAATCAGGCAACCATAGTGTCCCAAGACTGAACAATTTTCAAGTTCAAGTTAAACTGAGAGAGATCAAAAGAGAGTCTCTGCAAAAGAGGCCCTTGCTGGCAATTTTTTCCAGCTCAGAGAGTCTTGACAATGCAACCTCAGGAGCAGGCAACAAATGTTAAAAGGCTCTCCTCCTTGTCCTCTGTTGAACATTATGGGGGTACTAAGAATGACCTTGTTCAAGGAATGAAGCAGTGCAACAGAGATGCAATAACTAACAATGGAAGGGCTGTACTGTTGGGATGTTGGTGTCATTGCACAGCCCGTCTCCACAAGGACACAGCATGCATGAAGACACAGAAAGGGCACTGTGTGGGAAAAGAGTGTCAGTTCATCCCAAATCGCTGGATGGTCTCCTCTCTCCTTCCCCAGCTCTACATTGTCTTCTTTTACACATATAGCTTTCTTTTTGTGACGAAAGAACAGTGTGCTTCACATTTAATCACTAAGGTCTCCATTTGTTTGCATCTAATAAAAAAGACTTAGCACTAATATGCAGGGGTTGACAGCATTACTTCCTATTATGAACACGATCTTTTGAC